AAGAAAATAAAAATCTGTATAATATTTGACAGGGAATTTCTACTGTGTTTGAAAATTGAAGTCTGAATTAAAAAATAGAAAATTAGAGACTGTAGCATGTGTTATTCAGCTAATAGTCTTTAAGAAAAGTGTCCAGAGAAGCTATTGAGTCCACACCTCATCTCACTTCTGTCCTGCTGATTATTGGCTCCATTTCCCCCCTGCTGGTCCTGAGCTCCTCTGCAGGTTGGGCTGTCATGGCTTACACTCAAGATTCTCTGTCTGTCTTGAGCAGTGACAAATCTTTGCTACTTTGGTGCTCAGAGAGCTCAGCCACAGAGATGAATTTTACTGGATATACTGAATGGATATGCAGAGACTGATTTTAAGTTTCTATATAGTTATTACAATTCTTCTTAATGCCATGATCTTCCATTGTGGCATTTGGATCCATTCCATGCCATCCACTGGTACTATAGAATTATTACAAAGAATTATCACATACCAAATAACTGTTCGTAGGAAAAAATAAGCATCTTGTTTACCTTGGCTCACCATATTTGCAGAGAATCATGTAGTTGGTCAAGTCTTGCTACCTTAAGAGGCACATGCCATAGGATTTCAAGTTAGAGCCCATGGCTCCTGGGGCACTGTGTGCCTTTAAGTTCTTGATGAACCAAAATGCTTCTGCTGGTGGTGAAGCTTTCAGGCCCACCTCTGTTTCTCAATGTTCCCCAGAAATCTTCAAAGCATAGAGAAGTTTGATAAGGAAATTGGTCGTAAATATTAATATTTTATATCCATATAACTTGCAAACATCATAGTATCCTATTAAGTACCATTATAGTGATCCTAGAAACTGCTGTTATATTGTTTTTCGTAAGAGTCTTGAAAGTCTGACTGTTCACAATAAACTTGTCACAGCTTAGTCTTGCTGTGCCCCCTCCATCCTGGCCTAGTTAAATTCAGTTCTTACTGACCATAATCAGGGAATCCTGGCTCAGTAAGTAACTGCTAGTGCTTGCAAGGTTAGTGACAACTGGACTCATATCATTGTTGAATGATTTTTTTGCCCAAATCCTATGGAAAAAGTTCATTTCATATTCATTAAATATTGCTCATATATTTATTTCTTTTCTTAAGTATACCTGGAGAATATTGAAAGGTTAATCTAAACACTCCTTGTGTCCAGAGTGTGATCAACATGCAAGTCCACTGTAGTCATCATAGGTCACTAGCAGCCATGTGGACTGACCTTCACATGGACATTAGATAACAGACCATGGATCCCTTAGTTTTTATCTTCATATTATGCTGTTCAATGAGTTGTGTTGATCTTGATCTCAGAAACCCATATTCTGTAGTCTGTTTGTTTCCCAAACTATCTTAAGACAAGCTGTCACTATAATAGAATGTAGACAAGGCTGAGGTCTGCACTAGTAGACCCTCTTTCCTTTTACAGATAACAAAAATCTGTAACCCAACTGAACTAACAAAAAAACCATCACTTCTCCCAGTGATACTTCTCTAATTCACAGGTAAAGCATTTCAATTTCCCTAGCTTCAGAAGCAACAAAGAGTTCCATTACATTAAGCATGAAGCCAACGTTAACAAGGAAACACTAGAAAGAAGCAGAAAACTGTGATAAGGAAAAATCTGTTGCCAATGGAAGAGAGTTAGGAAAGAGACAGTAGATGACATCAGTTGACATGTACACAATGGTCCCTTAGACTTTTTCACAAGCTGAGTGTATAAGAACCATCTTCAAAGAAATCATTACATGGGACATTGGGTTGCAAATTAATCGCTGAAAGTATTCAAATTTCTAATATGCATTGATTGAAAAAATTCAATTACCTCTACTCTATTGGAGCATTAACACATTGGAAACAGGAAACAGGAGACATCTTGTTTCCCCATCTATCTGCAGTAATAGCATTCACTCAGGGAAGATCTTGCTTCTATTCCCTATAAGAGGAAATAAATTGAAATGATTTTAGATTATTTAAATTTCCCTGTGATTTCCAACTGAATCCATCATCACCAAGTCTTAAAATTATAGACCTTTGTGGAAAACATGGAAAGTGTTATTCTTATGTTTATGTTTATTTCATCTGAAAGCAGGTGGCAAATGGATATCTGAGATGTACCATAGAGAAATAATGATATGCTTATTAGAAATTAAGCAAATAGAAATTCTCATAGACTATGACATATCAAAGTGTCTATAGAAGACTTTTTGAACAGGAAGGGGAAACCACATATTGTAAAATGTAATCGGACATATGCTTGTGAGGAAGCACATGGTTGCAGTTCAGAACTGCCTATGATGTGAGCAGCAATTAGAAGTTCTGAGTAGGCTACTCAGTTCTTAAGTATGGTGATATTTTATTTGTACTCAAATGTGATTTTATTTATATGTTAATAAATAAAGTTGCCTGGGGGTCAGAGTTAATAGCAAGCCATAGCAGAACTGGGCATTACTGGCACACACCTTTAATCCCAGCACTTGTTGGCAGAACTAGGTAGATATCTGTATGGTCAAGGATACAGCCAGCATTGGAGACACACACCTTTAATCTCAATACTAACCATAGAAGATCTGGAGGTCTGTACAAACAGAGAGTGATGAGGCGGTCATGTGGTTGGGTTTACAACCAATGAGAAGGCAGAACAGAAAGTCTATATAAAGACAAACACTCAGGAAGTAGGTCTCTCTTGGCTGAAGAGGCTAGCTGCATCAGATGGGTAAGGTTCTTAACTCTGATCTCTTGGCTTTCTTCTTTGCATTGGTTCTGTGTTTCTTATTTAATAATATGATTGGTTACATCCACACTTAAGTGCCTCTGTTTTTCCCAGATCTCCTCTGTAGGGAGGTTTGTGTTTGCATTCACACTGAAGTCTCCTCCCATGTTGCTGGCACAGTAAGACATGGCAGACAGTGCAGATTTAAGGAAACTTGGAAACTGGAGGTATCCCTACTGATACTGCTGCTGGAAGTCCCAACTACAAACTGTGTCTCTAATAGTCCATGGTATCATACCAGCATATTCTAACCATTTCTTTTGTGCTGTTATATCCAGTGAATATGATGATTTGTTACATAGAATCCAGACAGTACAGATGAGTGTCAGCATCTGCAAAGTTTTCATGAGGCCAGGCCTGATTCTTGCAGACATCCCAGGGCAGTGCATCTGAGTATCGATGATAGTGCATCATCAATCGTAAACAAAAACTAGGGCTACATGCCCAGTTTCTTCTCCTTAAATGCTATGACATTCACTGTAGGGAATAGCCATCAGGCAGAAAAGCAGTTCTAGGACACACATAATTTGATGGAGACTCCTGTGTAAAGGAGATAAAGGATCAGTTTTCAGTCTAAGACCGGGTGCTGGTGCTATTCTTCTTGGGGGAGTCGCCAGATGATATAAAAGGGTAACAGAGTACAGGTCAATTTCCCTGCCTAGATAGGGTGATTTACCTGGTGTTGACCAGAATAATTAGAGGCATAGACCTCAGGGAAATTTTCTTGATACCTACCCTGTTAACCCACTCCCAGACAAATCAGAAATCATGTGGATCATGTCATCCAGACATTGCTCTATGAACATGAAGATGGCCTCCTCTCTTTCCTTCATCCTCCAGGCTGTGACTTCCTCCCGGGACCACTTTGCACTGTTTAGTTGGAGGCATGACCAACATTAGAGATTCCTCACAATGGAGGACAGTCTCTGAGTCCTGGCTGGCCTGGCTGGATGTCTATCTACTTCTTCATCTCTGGAAATCTCATATTTGAGTCCCTTCTTCTTTATGCCTGACCCGTGGGCTGTGGGTGACCTTAGGGAAACCAGATCCTAACACCGTACAGACAGCTGTGCAGTGCAGGATTTTAGGGACTCCCACCACTGTGCACATTCTGCCACCTTCTTTGTGATTCTATGAGAGATTCAGGGATATTTTCACACATCATGTCTCATCTTGGGTTTGTCTAGAATTTCCCTAGTGGTCATTCAGAATTTGAAAAAAAATCACAGAACTGATTGGCTATCTCTTGTTAACTGAGTAGGGGCCACATGGTATAAGGCCACATTTGTCCTGATTTGATTTTATCCCTTGGGTGAGACACTGTGTTTTAGTGTCTGCACTTGGGTTCTGTTTCCATTCCCATAAAACTCTGTAGGAGGAGATCACCAATCACAAATCAAACACAGATAGTGCAGGCCCAGGTGTATTTGCACACATAACTTAACAGTTCTTTGCTGTGTTACAAGTAATTTCTTTACTGACAGTTCTAAAAAATAGGAATTATCAGTGTAAATACATGTATTTTTGTTTAATATTATGTATTTAATAAAAATGCAAAACTATGTAATTTTTGTACCAACAATCCCAAATTTGGGAGTGAATAACCCCCTTATAGCAAAGTCCTTAGACCAGAACCATGCACAGTTGACCTCATAAAATCCCTGCACTGCATTATAGGGTTGGTAATACAGCTGTAGTAATGTGTGGATCCCATTCACTGTATGACACATTTCTGAGGCATAACAAAATGGCTTTGAGTCAACACTCTGGGACAAGTGTTCTGACACACAGATGTATCTGAGGTGGAAGGAATGGAGAATCCAAAGTAGAATTCACTTTTTAATGGGTCAACTAATATGATGCCTAGGTCAGCTGAGTTTCAAAATGTTTTCACTAAATAAGAAAAAGTCCTGAGACCAGAGATGGCACAGCTGATAAAGGCTAGATTCACAACTAAAAAGAAGAGAAATATTACCACGTGCAGCACCTTGATAGTAACAGTGAGAAATAAGCAAATGTGACTTTAGAAAAACAGTTTTTCATGATCAGAGAGAAAAAAAGCTCCCAAGCCTCTCCGCCCTTAGTGAGTAAGAAGCAAAAACAGAAAAAACCAGTTTTCTTTCCAGATCTGAAGTCTTAGAGTTCCTGTTCTTAGTTATGGCTCAGCGCCCCCTGCTGGTCCAAGGCTCCTCTGCAGAGAGGTTTGTGTCTGGGCTCATGCTGAAGTTCCCTCACTGTGTCTTGCACAGTAATATGTGGCTGTGTCCTCAGTGGTCACAGAGTTCAGCTGCAGGAAGAACTGGTTCTTGGATGTTTCTCTGGTGATGGAGATGCGGCTCTTGAGGGATGGGTTGTAGTTGGTGCCACCACTATAACTTATGTACCCCATCCACTCCAGCTTCTTCCGTGGGGACTGCCTGATCCAGTTCCAGTCGTAATCACTGGTTATGGAGTAACCAGTGACAGAGCAGGTGAGGAACAGTGATTGAGAGGGCTTCACCAGGTCAGGTTCTGACTCCTGAAGCTGTACCTGGGACAGGATACCTTCAGACAAGAAGAGACAATTCTGTCAATCACAGGTTGTCACAAACCCTCATGGATACATGTATGAAATGGTAACACTCACCAGGAAGGGCTGTCACCAGATACAGAAGACCCAACAGTGTCATCTTCTAGGCTACACCTCCTTTTGCTCAGAAGTCAGCCTCCTGTGAGAGAGATGTGAGTTCCCACAGTCCAGGAGTGGATTTAACTTAGAGCTAGAAGGTGTATTTGCATGTGGGGAGTCAGCCTTGTCTTTATAAATGTGGAGGGTAGATATTACTCCATTTGTCTGTTACAATGTGTCCATCACTGTATCTGACTTCTTGTAGTGTGAGTCTGGAGTAAGAGAGCATGAGGACTACAGGGATCACAGGAAACACAGCTTGGCATGATCAATCTGTACTTCCTAGTCCAACCTCCCCGCCTCCATTCTTATGCTGTTCTTTTGCAATCTCAGATCAAACTTTTCACACTAAGTTTCTGAGCACTGTCTTTCTGATTAGTTAGGCTACACACTCCTCCTTTTCTTCTTTTTCCGCCCATGAGATGGGTTTCAATCTTTCCTTGAAAATTACTACACTGTCATATTGTTGTTACACAGGGTCCACACCTACTTCTTACTCCATCCAGGCTGTGGAATGTAGAAGAAACACTTGCTGAGAGAAGGAGCTGGGGACCCTGTACACCATAAACCTTGCTCAGGGACCTCATTCAGTCTTTATACTGTCCTGACTCACAGCCCACCGGGGTTAGACATTGACAGTATCATAGGAGCAGGTATTTGATAGCCCAACCATAGAGACTAAGGATTAAGTTAGAGAGGACGTTCTCCTGCCTTGGGTCTCTTTACATACTGAGCCTCCTCTTGGAGTTTGTAACATGTGTCAGTGTTTGGGCACAATATGAGTCCTTCCCTCTTTTCTCATCTCCTAGTCGTTTTTACCTATGGGCAAGTCTTTTTTTTCTCATATAATATATCCTGATTATAGTTTCTCCTCCACCTTTAACTCTGAAGACTTCTGCCTCCTTTCCCATCCATATACACCATCTTGCTATCTCTCTTTAGAAAACAAGCAAGCTTCTAATGAATAATAAGAAAATAAAATGATATAAAACAAAAACTAACAGATTGGAACAGGACAAAACAAAGAAACAGAAAGAAAAGAACCCAAGAAAAGGTGGAAGAGACAGGTGTAGATGCAGAGACCTCCTGATGTAAACACACTGGGATCACATAAACACTCAGAATTAGAAGACATGCTATATATGTAAAGAAAATATAGTGTAGAGTAAGAGATAAATAAATAATTGAGAAAAACAACAGAAGCCATGTGATGGTAAGAGACAAGGAACCTCCAAAATTGTATTTGAATTTGATATCTGATGACCATCTACTTTCTGGAGATGAAGCTGGTTTCCTCATTGAGACTCCCTTAGACAAAACTAATTTGTCATATGTAGGTGGTTATCAATTGGAGATAGAGTAGGGTTAGGGATGGGTGCTTATGTCCACTTCTTTCAGCTCTAGTACCCCATCTGGTTCAGACTCAATGGGCTCTGTGTATACTATCTTAGTCTCTCTGAATTTGTATGTGCAACTATCCTGTTGATGTATAGACCTTATTTCCCTGGTGCATCTATCCCCTCTGGCTCTCTTATCCTTTTCTCCTCTTCTTCAGTGTTCCATGAGCCCTGAGGGGATTTGATGAAGACATCTCATATAGTGCTGAGTGGTCCAAGGTCTCCCATTCTCAGAATATGGTCTGGCTGTGGGTCTCTGTATGTGTCTCCACCTGCTGCAGAAGGAAGCTTCTCTGATGATGGCTGAGTAAGGCACTGATCTTTGAGTGTAGCAGAATGTCATTGTGAGTAAATTTTTGGAATCTTCTTTTTATAGAACAATAATATTTATTTTTGAACTATCTCTTCTGAGAATCTTGGTCAACCAAGTAGAGTATGGATTCTATTTCTTGTATGGGCCATATGTCAACTCATATATTGATAGTTACTCCCGCAAGCTTCTTTCCACCATTGACCTAGCATACCTTGAGGCTGGATACCATCATAAATCCAAGGAGTTGTAGCTTATGTTGGTACTTTGATACTTTGGAATCATCTACTGTGTTAGGTTTCCATACTACCCCTCAAATGGCCCCAAGTTTATCTCTCTTTCCCCTTATTTTCTCTGTTGCTCCCCTTTTCCTCACCCTCCTCTTTGATTCTCCTTCTAGTTGTCCCCCATGCATTTACCACTATCTAAACTATTTCGTTTTCCTACAGGAGATCTATCCTCTCCACTCCAATCCCATAAGACTTAAAGATCTCTCATGTGAATCCAGGTTTTCAATTCTGGCCCTGCATAATTCATTTTTTAACAGAAGGCACATGAATAAGTACAGGAGTTGATGGAGACTGTATCACTTAAAGGCATACAGCATTTCTGATCACAGACTAGGGATCATCACTTTCATCAGCAATAGAAATATTATACCTACTGTTTTGTTAGAAATATAATTGGCTATCCTGTATTATTGTTGGATATACCATGAGTGAGCTAAGAAGTTTAATAAGAAGGAGCATTAACCTGAGTACTTATACAGATAGTGTTAATTCCAATAGCAAGAATAAGACCACACCCACAATTTCATACAAACTTGAAGCAAGCTTGATTTTCATTGGGGTGTGCCCAAGAGCACATCAGTGACTGCCTCCTAATGTTAAGGAGAGCAGCCCCAAATACATCTTTTGGGCCCCTTTGAGGAGTAAAATTATGTGTAGTTTAACAGAAGGGAGACAATGGGGCAATAAGGAAAAACAAAAAACCTGAAAAGGACATCAAGTGGCCACCCACCATTTGATTAGATGGGTCAAGGGAGGGTCAGGAAGGGTCAAGGTATTCTCAAAGACAAATCAAAGTCATGGGTTGGGGAAAGTCAGTTTCCAGGAAACAGAGAACAATCCAACTCTCACAGTAAATAAAAATTTATTTTAAAAAATACAGCACAATGGCTCTTGCCTCTGTAATGGAGTCAGTTAGGTTTCTCAATAGTAGAGAAGACAGGCTTCAATCACCCCTTTATTGTCCATTCATCAGCTGATGGGCCTCTAGGCTGATTCCAGCTCTTAGATGCAGTGAAGAAGGAAAGGCTGAATACAAAAGATCTGGTATCTTTGCAGTAGTGAGTCCTTTGGTGTCTGCCCAGGAGTGATGTAGCTAGGTCACATGACATTTCTATTTTTAGCTTTTGGAAGAAATTCAGACAAAATTTCATAGGGACAGCAACAGTTCACACTCTCACCAACCACATGTTATGGTTACCCTTTCTCCAAATAATCATCAACATTTGGTGTCATTTATTTCCTTAATAAATGACATTCTTTTTTTTGAGGATTAATTTTTTTTAATTTATTTTGCAATACAATTCAGTTCTACATATCAGCCACGGATTCCCTTGTTCTCTCCCCTCCCGTCCCCCTCACCTTCCCCCCAATCCCCCCCCCATTCCCATCTCCTCCAGGGCAAAGCCTTCCCCACAGACTGAGGTCAACCTGGTAGACTCAGTCCAGGTAGGTCTAGTCCCCTCCTCCCAGGCCGAGCCAAACAATCCTGCATAGGCCCCAGGTTTCAAACAGCCAACTCATGCAATGAGCACAAGATCTGGTCCCACTGCCTGGATGCCTCCCAAACAGATCAAGCAATCAACTGTCTCACCCATTCAGAGGGCCTGATCCAGTTGGGGGATCCTCAGCCATTGGTTCATAGTTCATGTGTTTCCATTCATTTGGCTATTTGTCCCTGTGCTTTATCCAACCTTGGTCTCAACAATTCTCGCTCATATAAACCCTCCTCATTCTCGCTAATTGGACTCCCAGAGATCCACCCGGGGCCTAGTCATGGATCTCTGCATCCAGATCCCTCAGTAGTTGGATGAGGTTTCTAGCACAACAATTAGGGTGTTTCCATAAGAGCACTTGTTCAGCTATGTTCATATCAGCATTGTTTGTAATAGCCAGAACATGGAAACAACCCAGATGCCCTTCAACTGAAGAATGGATAAACAAAATGTGGTACATATACACAATGGAATACTACTCAGCAGAGAAAAACAATGGCATCATGAGGTTTGCAGACAAATGGATGGATCTAGAATAAATGACATTCTTACAGGGATAAGACGAAATCTAAATCTATTTTTTTTTTAAATTTGCAATTCACTGATGGATCAAGATGATGAAAACTAGCTGGGTGGTGGTGGCTCACACCTTTATTCCCAGCACTCAGGAGGCAGAGCCAGGTGGATCTCTGTGAGTTCTAGGCCAGCCTGGTCTACAGAGTGAGATCCAGGACAGGCATCAAAACTACACAGAGAAATCCTGTCTCCAAAAACAAAACAAAACAAAAAAAGATGTTGAAAACTGTAAGAAGAGTTTATTAGCCATTTGTGTAATGGTTGTGTTTCCATCCCTTGAAGAACCTATGAAGTTTCTCAAAGCACCACTGCTGTCTGTCGATAGAATGAATTAATTCTTGGCCTTTCAAAATCTTAGGAGATAACTGTGTAGGTTGTGCCAACAAATCAGGAAAGACCCCCTTTATGTGTTTCACACTCTATGTCTTGGGATGCTCTCTCTGTCTTTTGGGTAAGTGATCCATTAACACAACTGTCAGCTCAGGATTGTCTGCTGGAGCTCTTTGTGCTGCTGCTTGTTCCCTCTGAGGGTCAGAGCAGCAGGGAAGCAGAGTGAGGAAGGTCACAGTGATTGAGGTTGGGATTGGAACCTGACTGATCATAGTCTGATCCTTTAAAACGTCAGTCAGTAGAATTCTGACAGAGTGGGGAACTTGGGAATGGGTCCTTTCCCAGGCAGCTGCACTGAAATCTCTCAATGGGCTCCTTTGCATTGCCTTAACACCACAGGGGTAAACTCTTAAGCTCTGGGTGATGTGTATAATTATAGAAAGTCTGCTGTGGTAGATTTTACAACCCTCCTGTTTATACTTCCATCACTTACCATGATGCTTATGAGCTCCTCCCTCATACAAGAGAAATGACTGAATATTAAAATGAGGAAAGAGAAAGGAGGTTCTCTGCAAGAGGGAGAAACCAACACTCACAGTAATTCC